TCTTTTATTTAGTTTCCTTTTCAAACATTTCCAAAATATATGCAATAAAAAGGAAATTTTTTATAAAGTCACAAAAAAAATAAAAAATGAAAAATATATGTGTATATAATATGATTTCATAAAAAAAGGAAAGTTCACAAAATAATAATAATACATTTAAAATATTTTTAAATAACATAAAATATACTTTTAGAGTAATAAAAATAGTTTATAATTAGTATTATTGGTTTTGTATTTATTTAGTTGACTATAATATCTTTCAATTATAGAAAATTATCTATAAATTATATTTTACCTATATAATATTATTTTCAAATATAATTACAATTTTTTGCAGTGCTTATTTTTAAGAGATATTAAAAAATTAAAATAAATTTAACAATAAATATCGATTTGTCAAATAATTAACAATTAATTTAATGAGTTAGATATATGATATTTTATCACTATTAAAAAAAATTCTTAATATTAAATTTTATGTTTTTATGTTTGTGAAACTAAATATAACCATGATATGATAATACCAAAGCAGATCTGAATTCCCAATTTTAAGATTATTTAAAATAAATTTTAGTTTATATTCATTAAATCTAAAGCATAAAGTTATTTAGAATTTATAAATATTTTAATTATTGTAAATATTGATATGTGTTCATGAGCTTCCAAAAATGTATCAACTACTTATGCATGTAACCTTCTATTGATCATCGGATAACACAAAACATATTAACAAATGAAAATAAATATTAATCAACTCTTACAATTTTAGTTCTTTTATAAAATTTATAGATATACATGTGACTTTAGAATATTATCGTTATATTAATTTACGTATTTTGGAATCAGACACTTTAGTTAACTTTTAATTCATTCTAAGTACAATATATCTTAAGATATACATAATTTTCCAAAATATATGTACATATCTAAGACAACATCCACTATATGCAAATAAGTAATTAATTAAAAATTAGATATTACAGTTGGATTAAAAAAAATTCAATTTATCCAAATGATAACTAAATTAACCGTAAAAACCACAAAATCGACTAGATATAACATATATAAAATTACTGTATAAATAAATTAAAATTATATTATTAATATAAATGATGCATACAAATTATAAATTAATTTAAAATTAAAACTAAATAGTAATCAATTATTTCATATATTTACTTTAAAAATATTTATACCCGTGCATGAGCACGGGAAAATCACCTAGTAATAAATGTATAACTGATATCAAAATTGTGAACGATATACCTGACCGATGTTTGTATCGATCTATGGTGAGTCACTTCCATCGATTTTCATGGATAGGGTTATGTCGAGTGATATCGACAGGATCATATCGGTCGATAGAGGTAGTGATCGTGTAGCTGTGTTCCTAAAAACAAATAAAAACGAAAGTAATAAGTAAAAATAAAATAAAACTAAATAAGAAAATACATAACAGTGGTTGCCTCCCACTCAGCGCTTAGTTAAAGTCAGTTAGCTTGACTATGGAGGTATGGTGGCTAATGAGGTGGGTTGCAGGTACTTGTTGGGAAACAAGTATCCTCCTTGTCTTGTGATTCTTCAAACCATGAAGTTAAGAAGCTTCTTGTGGCTTTCTCGCTCCTGGTCATACTAGCTTGCAATCCTTGGACCTCATAGTGGATTCTCTATAGCCACTCATCAGTGCTTGCTAAACTGCACTCATGTCGTCCAATGTTGCTGTAGGTGTGCTCTAGATCAGTACTCATCTGCACTGTGTCAAGGTTTTGGGTGTTTTGCACAGGGGAATGATAGTATCGACTGATCTCGGTGTAAGTCTATCGGTCGATGTGGATGGATGTCCATTGGTCGATGGGTTCAGAGGCTCGTCGATCGATGCGGATTGTGCAGGTTGGCGCGCGAGCTGGTTCTTCTTGCTTTTGATCTCCTTCTGAATGTCCTCTATTGTACATTTCAATCATTGAACGTCAGTCTGTACCGGGAACCAAAATTTGTCGAGTAAACTATAAGCTTCGTCTTCACAGGCTTCAATAGATCGGTAGATCTCCCTTGTGATTTCCTCAAGTTCTCCTCTGGTACAGAACTCTGGTGCGCGATTATCGATCGATGTGCTGGGTATATCATCTATCGATAGCTGCTGTAAGTGACTCTCGATAGGTTTGTCGAAGGTCGTGTCGATCGATGCTGATGGCGTTGTATCGGTCGATGTTCGTCTCTGAGATTCTAGTTCATTGTGCAGTGCATTCACCTCTTCTTGCAGGGCTTTTCTCTCTTTGCGAGCGAAGTCATTGCCAGACAGATTCCACTGTAGTTCTCCTTGAAGTGATGCTATGGCTTTCTCATGTTCAGACCTCAACGCTGCCATCTCCCAATTATGCTCGCCAGTTCTTTCATTCAGCATGTATGTGACCTCTGCTTGTGTGTAGAGCTTGCAAACTGGAACTCCTTTAGCAAATTGTTCAGCGTGTTCTGGTAGACAGAAACAAGAGCGCCCAAACAGTGTGGCTCTATTCAGCAGCTTCTCAATATCTTCTTTGTAAACATGGATTATGTCGCCAGCTACGCTTCTTGCTTAACCATTCTCATCTCTGTAGACACCATATTCGTCCTTCTTTTCCCAGAAGAAACGACGAATCCCTAATTTGAAAGCTCTCTTCCCGAACTCGCGATGTATATCAGTCGATGCACGTCGCCATGTATCGATCGATGCTGATTGAAATTATGGATTTGCTGAGTTTAGAGGAAGGTTCTCTGCACCATCTTGCTCATGAAGTGTTTGTTGCTGGTGCTGATCATTCTGGTGGATGGGTGGTTGTGGGAAGGGACTGACTGGTCCATCGGCCATAACGGGAGAGTTTGCTCCACTTACTCATAAAATGTTAGAGCTGGGTTTTTATGGACCATATACAAAAAACCTTTGTCAATGGCCTAATAGCTAAGTCGGGATTCGTATGAAACTTGCGCCGAAGTCAATAACCAAGATCAAATCAATTGCAATTAAGAAACAAACCAAACATAACAACCAAATCAAACTTAGATATGAACGTGGGGACCATAAATTTCAAACACTGTTGAGGTAGACGTCTTAGAAGAGAGAAAATCCTCCTTTTATATATTCCATTTTTTCACAAAGTTTCATGTTTTAACCTTTTCACACTTATTAAGAAAACATATCAAGTTTAAATTATCAATACATTATTTTTTTTCTAATCAACTAATCCCTATAAATCTTAACCAATAAAAATTTTAAAAACACAATTATATTTTTTTGAAGTTTACAATTTACTATTAATGAATACATTAAAATGTAAAAAATATATCTTTTTAAAATATTTTTTTTCTAGAAAATAGATCTTTTTGAAATATAGGGAGTATATGATTATGATTTAGATGTGTTAGGTCTACTAATGCTAATAATTCTATTTCTACCTAAACTTCAATTGGAAAAGTTATCCAAACATAAATTAATAACTATTGTATATAAATTTTATCCAAATTAATATTTTGGGTATATGTTTCTTATTCACAGTGGAGTTTTTGGAACGTACATTGTTAGCACGACATGACCAACTTGATAAAGCAAATAAAGGATAAAGTGGTAGGTTTGCACACCAAACCAAGAGATTATATATATAGTGAGCATATTTAATCGTCGCTGCCAACTCTAAGTGATGGTTAATCCGAGTTGGCTAAAAGTTTGTGAAATACCTAAACGACCAAAGAACTCTATACTAAATTCACACAAGAAGGTATGATGAACTTGTAAATGTTTGGTGTTGTGTTAAACTCTGATGTCAAGATTCTGAGATAATGTGGACGAATGAATTGAAGATTATGAATTGTGATCATATTGTTGTATACATATAATAATATTCAAATTTTACTTGTGACAAAGTTGCGGATCGCAGAATTAGTTGAGTTTACTACTTTGTTCAGGGTAAACTGTTCATGTACTCTTGTGAAATGTTTGCTGATTATTCAAGGTTCAATGTTATGATTTCAATATATTATTTCATCATCTTCTAATATACTCAGAGTTCTGATTTTGTATCTTTATCGTAAGATAATGTTAACTACGTTGATCCCAGGTATGTGCACTCTCTTGGCAATTTATATCATATGAGGAGTATAAATGCATACCGATTTATAGACGTCAATGGAGTTGTGTAAAATGTTTTCATGTTTTTTTCAACGGTTTCAACAAGCAGCATTTGTCACTATCTTGAAATTATTGCATAGCAATTAAGGAATGCTTAATGTGAGTTGGACTGTTGCATGGTCAAGTTCAGAGGTGTAATGGCATCATGTGGCATATTAAGAGAAAATTCAGACTTCAAATCTTAACCTTCTCTAATTTTCTCCCTCGCTTCCTTTTTGAATCCATGGAAGTCTTCTATTTCTTAGCGTCTCTGGATGTAGTCAGCTGCGAATTTATGTTGGACTTTAATTGCATTCTCATCTTTATTTACATTTAATTTAATTATTGACAATAGCATATCTTTGAGTCTTCAACTATTCAAGTGGAGTCCTAGAGGTAATTTTCATTTTTTTTTTAATCAAAATCAACCCCACTTTTCGAGAAACTTAAATAGTTTTTAACATTTTGGCTAATTAAAAAAAAAAAAAAAAGACTGATAACAAGCGAGTTTGTGCATACCATCATAACAGATATTTCAAATAAGAACCAGCTTAGATGTACAAACTCAACCATCTTTCAAAGGTTGAAATCAGAACTAATTTTGACAAAGCGGGAACTTTGTTGCGTGACCCAGAGATGTAGCAGCATAGAATGAGGAACCGGTATTGTACAATCGATTAAGAAATTCCAGACTTCTCGGTTTGGCTAATTACCGGGTTACTTTTGGTTTGGTTCAGTTTTCATCTATAATTCGAAACCGGAAAGAAAAATAATTGGGCCTATTGTCTGAATATTAAGCCCATAAAGACTGCTGCTAAGTAGCCCCGATTTGACACCGATCGTCGTTATCGTTTCAGTTTCTCGACGACTCTCTCTTTCTCTGCAACAAAAGAAAAAAAAAATGGAAGTAGGAGCGACTGCGACTGCGAGGAGCTTCACAACGCTCCGAGCTCGTACGTCAGCGATAATCCCGTATTCAACACGTAAGCTTCGATCTACGGTGAGATGTTCGTCGTCTTCTCCTCTCTCGAATAGCTTACTCTTCCCGTATACCGGAGGAAGCATCTCTAGCGACTTCTGTGGCTCCAAGCTTCGTTCGGAATCGCTTAGACGGTTGAATCTCTCAAGCTCTAAGCCTAAGCGCGGAGTTGTCACTATGGTAATGTTTACATTTCATATCGTTTTTCAATTACAAAGGTCTGTAATGTTAGGGTTTCGTGGTAGTGAACTAGTAGATATAGGCGACGAGAAGAATATGTTGAGGCCTTTGATTGATCGGAGATTCTACTACATGTTTAGATAGATGGTTGATTATGAATCTTGAACCGTGCTCTTTCAGAGGAGACTATGTGACATGCGATTGCCTGATGAGAAATAAGTTGAGTATGTGGCCGAGGTTTCGTTTATTGTGTCTGGCACTTGGCATTTCCATCAGTTGGATTGCTATTTTTGTTGATCCATTTCATGTTTGGTGAATCTTTATCTGTTCTCATGGATGGATCTTTTGAGTGTGCTTGCTTCCTTCCATCAACAGGTTATACCTTTTTCAAAAGGAAGTGCACACGAACAGCCTCCTCCTGACTTGGCATCGTATTTGTTCAAAAACCGGATTGTATATTTGGGAATGTCTCTTGTGCCTTCAGTCACTGAGTTAATACTCGCTGAGTTTCTTTACCTTCAGTATGAAGACGAGGAAAAGCCTATTTACCTCTACATTAACTCCACTGGGACAACCAAGGTAGGCTTCTCATTAACCATCTCTGAGAACGCATACTGAATAGTGACCTTGACTCTGTGGGTTTTTATTGTTTCAAACAATGATTTAAAGATCTTAAAATCATTAGCTAATCTTCATAATCTTTATCTTTCAGAATGGTGAGAAGTTGGGTTATGATACCGAGGCTTTTGCAATTTATGATGTCATGGGGTTAGTAATCTTTTTCCCTCTTATTTATTTACTTTCCTTCTTTTATATCTTTTTCCTTACAAGAGTCTATGACGAGACTTGAATCTTGGAACTGCTTTCCTGAGTATTTTAAACCGCACTTGAAGAAGATTTTCACATTAAGCTTTTCTTGAATTGTTATTTGCGGGAGACTAGACATATATCCATGCAAGAATCAAAATTTATGTTATCTTTGACTTCAGGTATGTCAAACCACCAATCTTTACGCTTTGCGTTGGGAATGCTTGGGGTGAAGCTGCTTTGCTTCTGACTGCCGGTGCTAAAGGAAATCGTTCTGCATTGCCCTCATCAACCATAATGATAAAACAGGTTTTTTGCTCCCATCGTTTCTTTTAGATTTCTAAGTGGCGTCTGTTTCCTCCTAATTGGAAGAAAGTATGGCTTTATGATATTGATTCCTAATTTATTCACATACGTCTATTACTCATCCATGTATTTTCTTTTATTTGATAACTTTGTAGCCCATTGCTCGATTTCAAGGCCAAGCAACCGATGTTGAAATTGCAAGGAAAGAAATCAACCACATAAAGACAGAAATGGTGAGAAGATCAACTTTATATGAACTCACATAATTGAAAATCAGTTGCGGGCCCTTGTGATATACGTAGAATATCATAGTTTAACCTTCGTTATACAACAGTGTCCAGTTGTTTGCGTGATATGTTTAACATGCGGGCGATGACTATGTTATGCACTAGTTAGCAATCGATATTATGCAGTTACTAGCAAATTTGATATTATGTCCTGTACACTTCACTTTTATCTTTAAACTTGTCTGATAAGATTTCACGTGTGTCTCTGTTCCATGTAATGTTAAACGCAAGGTCAAGCTGTATTCCAAGCATATTGGCAAATCCCCGGAGCAGATTGAAGCGGACATGAAACGCCCAAAATATTTCAGTCCCAGCGAGGCTGTTGAATACGGGATCATAGATAAGGTAACTGAAAGAAAACATATGAGTAATGTTTGTTTTCCATCAACAACATAGATTGGTTATCTTCTGCAGTTTTGAATTATTCTCTTCATGTAATCTGTTTGCAGGTTGTTTACAACGAAAGGAGCAGCCAGGACAGAGGAGTTGTCTCCGACCTTAAAAAAGCACAACTCATTTAAATGTCAGAGTCGTCTTCTAAAAAACCCGCATGATTAACATGTAAATGCTGAAACTTGCTCTCTTTCATTCTGCATATTGATTGATGGTTATCATCATGAAATTGCGTTTTGGACTTAATCTCTTTTAGTTGCACAAAGCGTAAAACTACAGAGGGAATGGCCTCGAGTCTTCTAGTTTTGCGTCCCCTTTAGTGCAGATAGTTACTTCACATATCAACACCTAGCATTAATAGGTCTCAGTGACAAGTAACGTTATTCTATTTCTAATCATATTGGCTTGTCCTTTTTTTTTTCGAATTGACTTAAGTACGACATTATCATTATGTTGTGACTTCTAATTATATGGCTTCTCCGTTTCAAAATATGTTGTTGTGATATTCAGGAATCAGGACCATGGATGAATGGGGGGATCTTTGAACCGTTCATCGGCACGGAACCGGGATAAAGTCTTGAAAACATGTTAAAAATACTATTACTAATGCTGAAATTTAGGACATACTTATTGGAAGGGAGACAAACCTGTTATGTGTAGGCCTGTGAATGCCTAGAAACAGAATTGGTGTATCTTCAATATGTTTAAAAACATTTCAAATGAATCAATTTCGTCATTCGCAATGCTTATTTTCATTACCATTTCTTGAATTGCATAGATCATAGATTAATGAACGATAAGATAGCAGTTAAACTCACCAACCATATGGAAATAACTTTTCTTTAAATTTTGGATTTAAACATGTCAACTGTTTTATAGACCTCTAAACCAAAAGCTGATCCCATTCTAGTCGAAAATGCAATTTTCTTAATCGGGAAATAAAATGCTAAATGTCAAACGATATTGTAGTGATCATAGAGTTTACAAATTTACCTTTTGTAAAGTTAAGAATCTCTGATATTTCACTACCATGTGAACCATTGTTTACTATGTTTTTTCTAAAGAGTGAATTTGTTGAAAATCCTATAAGTACATAATTAGCTAAATGCACAATTCAATTTTATGTGGGGATTGGATTATGTACACAATTACCAAACTAACCTCATCACCTATTGTTATCGACAAAAAAGAGTAGGCACAAAAAATGAGTAAGCGGTAGTAACCTAAACAAGTTTTATTTTTAATTGGGGGTTAGTAATGATTAAACTTTCCCCCTATTCTACATCAAGAACCAGTAGAAACTCAGCAAAATCTGACACAGAAGCTGTATGGCTGGGAAGATCAAAAGAAAAGTTATTGGGTTGCATGCGAAAAGTGAGATTTCTGAGGGGGGATTCGAAAAGATGTACTCGAGGTTCGGCTATAAAAGGAAGCTTACCGATGAGTTTCCTCTCACACTTCAACAAAAAGATCAAGGTGATTATTCCTGGCAGAAAATAAAAGTTCTTTTCTCTGTCGTTGGAATGTTCTTACGACCTGAAATAAATTTGATTCCTTCTGTTTTGGATCTCTTGTCTTTAATATGTCTGTAATTAATTTGTTGTATTGTACGATATAAAAGAAGTCGATTACAGCTGCATTTATTTTGATTCATGTGTTTTGTTTAATTCAATTATAAACAGTTAGATCTTGTATATTTATGAGTAATCATCACCATCTCCTTCCCATCTTCATTTATTTGGATTCCTTGTTCCCTCTCTCTTGTTTCTTCCGTACATGCATTAATCGCGTGTCCTATAACAAATCATATTAACTCTTATATAAACCCCTGACATAAAAATGTAGATGATTGTTCAGATGCTAACAGAGATTTAGCCGAGGAAATTGATGCATGCCATTATATCTTGGATTGATAACATGTATTGAGTTAAAAATAGCGTTGCATGAAATTTATAGCTTCCAAATTGTTTGTGTGTTCAATACTCAGATGGTTCGATGTGTGCGTTTCTGGCGAGGCCAATGGAAAAAGAGTGGTGAAGAAGAGTGGGAGTTCATGAGACATCCATAAGAAATTGGCTATAGGGTGGTCCTCTACGAGACTGTCAGCTACAATGACCTTGACCACCTAATAAGACAGCGATACGGTCTAAGTCCTTATATCCCACTTGTCATTACTCACCGACTTCCTATTGGGTTGCTCGGCCCAAGTGGTAACCGGAAACCGCCGACCACAATCTCGTGCACAGCCGTGCTGTCTTGGTTTCTCCATGGGGGAACCTGTGGGATTGAGCTTCCTCTAATGATAACGATGGGTCCTATAGATGTTGTTGAATACGAGTTTAACACCCTTACTAATTTTGCAATAGGGAATATAATGCATGTCTTTGATCACACAGCAAATGATAGCTCCCGAGCCGCTTACGAAAGTAAGAACGATTACTCTCGAAAGAATACAATAAGTTTAGATGTTAACTTTCTAATGGCTGTATAAATTTTGTTTTTTACTGGAACAGGTTTAATCTTTGGTAACCGTCCAGCACAAACACAAAGAGTCATGCATGCTTTATTTCCAGAGGACAGTTTGCGTCTCTTCCACCGAGTTTCGTTGGAGATGGCTTTTGCAGACAACTATATGGCGAACCAACTCCGCGAAGTGGAACGATTGAGAGAGATCATCGAGCTAGACGACGATGATACCGAAATGGTTGAAGGTGCACAAGGACATGCACCAAATGGTATGTGGTAGATTGATGTAATTTTGTTATGTTGTAAGTTATTTTCTTCTTATGTAAGAAATTATGTTTAGCCGGCTAACATAAATTGATGTACTGTTTAAATTGTTTTGTTTGAAGGTGTCTCCGGTGTTGATACCACCGTGGTTGGACCTCTTGAAGGTGCACAAGGACGTGAACCAAATGGTATGTGGTAGATTGATGTAATTTTGATATGTTGTAGATTATTTTCTTCTTATGTAAGAAATTATGTTTAGCCGGCTAACACAAATTGATGTACTGTTGAAATTGTTTTGTTTGAAGGTGTTTCCGGTGTTGATACCATCGTGGTTGGATCTATTGATCAGGGGGGGTGCGCACCCGGTTCTGTGGGATGTGGGAATGAACATGTCAGCCATGGCGGTTCAGCCGACGGAGGATCAACCAACAACTGGAAGGGGTGAGACAGCTGGTGAGTGGGTGAACTAAGTTTAACAGTTTATCCTTTTAATTTATTAATTATACATTTACACTGACAAGTTAGCTGGTTAACAAATAGTGATTGACACAAGTTTGTTTCCGATTACACAGTACAAAACGGGCACACTACCGATGTGGCCGGACTCGTTGGTGAAGGGGGGTACGCCACCAATAAGCATGACTACAATGACAGAGCACCCAACGCCGCAGCAACAACAAGCCGAAATGGGTGAAGGAACCCAAATAAATACTACAAATGGTTAGCCGGTTAACAAATGTTGTTATACTAAAATGTTTTTTTGTAGCTAGTTATTGAAACTTATTGACAACTGCTACTTTAATTTTTAAAAGGTGAAACGGTCCCAGGAAACCAAGTTGTTGGACAGCAAACGGCGCAGCCGACACCTACTGCGGGCATTACTAGTGAAATGCGGTTTTGGCATTCATTGGGGTTATGCCCATCCCCTGATGGCATTGATGCCAGCGAAGTCTCTTTCACAGGTTCATCGGAAGCAGAAATTGGTCCACTAACTCAGCCCACAAGCAACGGTAAGTGAGTTTGGTACAAAAAATTGAGTTTATTAATGTTAACAAACAACATTTTTTTCCCAGAGATGGAGGCGGCACAAGGTTTGGTGTTGGGCAACTACTCAACCATTGGAGACTCAACCAAACGTAAGCCAAACTCTTCAACCAATGATGAAGTTGGCAATGGTATGTGCAACAAAGGGAGAAGGTTCGACAAATACAAAATAGAGGAACACAGAGAACACAAAGACTTCCTCTGAAGGAAGTAGCACCGAAGGTGGGTGTTGAATACGGACCCGCTACGTCAGCCACACCTCATGCTTGGTTTAGTTTGTTTTAATTGCATTTCTGTTGGCATGCTAATTTTCTAATTATCTTGACTAGCGTTGTTTAGCAGCATGGTGTAGCGTGTTATCCATCGGGTATTCCTAGATTTTCAAAAATACTAGGTGGCTAATTGAAAGTTTATGTAATGTACCAAAACAGTCATCTATGTCAACTATAATGTATTGGGCGCTGATGTCGGATTATGCTATGTTGTTCCTGCATTACTAGACAACGTCTACACTTACCTTGAATACCAATAAGTATTTTGTAGATTTACAAAATTATAGCCGGCTATATTGAAGTTTATACAAAGTATAAGAAACGTCAGTTAATGTCAACTATAATGTATTTCGCAATGATATCCGATTGTGCTATGTTTTCCCTACATTTATAAGGCAAGTCTACTCTTAACCTCGCTATAAAATATTGGACCAACTAATTATTACTGAGCATATTAACTACAGTAATCTGTTCATGATAAACATTGTTGAGCATTGTTTGATGACTTATCTAGCATTGTTAATAAGTATTGTGTAATTCGAAGAGTATTAGTATAAAATTCATATGAGGAACATATTAGGGCGAAAAAATGATTTTGTCATGGATAATATATAACATGCTAATATATTGTGTATACATGATACAAACTTATTTAGCATTGTTTGCTAGTAAACTGTTTGGAAAACTACGCATGAACTTATTTAGCATTTTATTGCAACAACACATAAAACTTTACTATTGTTATTTTTTATTATTTGGGGAAAATAATATATTTAGCATTTGTATAAACCCCGCAATTTACTGAACTCCCAATAAAAAACAGTCTAACCATATATTTTCCAGGTGAAATTGGTGAGTACGATGGTGAGGTTGAAGTACGAATGATATTCAGAAGTAGGGACGAGTTTAAACAGTATATGGCGGTACACGCGATAAACAAGAAGTTTGTTTCAGAAGTAGCAAATCAGAACCAGGATTAATGGTTCTTGAGTGCTGTGGAGAGGGTTGCCCTTGGAGAGTAAATGCAGTCAAGCTGAAGGATGCGAATGTATTCGAGGTAAGGAAAGTCATCTCAGACCACACTTCTTCGGTGGACGTGCGAGGAGGCTATCAATCACAAGCAACAACGTCAGTTATCGGCGAGCTCATGAGAAGCAAGTTTGGTGGAGCTTGCACCAGACCAAGACCACGGGAAATAAGACAGATGATGTGTGGAGATCATGATGTCAATATATCGTACTGGAAGGCGTGGCGTTCAAGGGACGTAGCCATTGACGAGGTGAAGGGCAACGCGACATCTTCTTATAATCAACTACCAGACTATTTGAAGCGGCTAGTTGTTGCGAATCCAGGGACAATCACAAGGCTTTTTACAGAAACAATTGACGGCGCCGCTGAACGTTTCAAGTACATGTTTGTGGCATTTGGGGCATCTATTCAAGGTTATGAGAATATGCGGAAGGTAATCGTCGTTGATGGAACGCATTTGAAGGGGAAATATGCCGGTTTCTTGCTTACAGCATCTGCACAAGATGGGAACTACCAAATTTTCCCCCTAGCTTTTGCAATCGTGGATAGTGAGAACGACGTGTCTTGGGAGTGGTTTTTCCAGCAGATGACATCATTTTTTAATGGTGGGGAGGGTGTGGTGTTTGTCTCTGATATACATGCATCGATAACGAAGGGTATT